TAGGTAGGGATGATTTTAAGAAAATTTTAATTGACACACAGCTTCCAATATTTGGCTTTTAATTTGGTTTTATGGGGTTTTTTTGTTTTTTGATGTATTTTGTTTGTATCTGTTTTAATATGCTGTGCACCGCCCTGAGTCCTACGGGAGAAGGGCGGTATATAAATTAAATTATTATTATTATTATTATTATTATAACTACAGTAAGGGAAAAAAATCCAGAAAAACACATTTCAAAAAAGATATAAATTTATTTGCATTTTAATAAGTGAAATAAATATTTGATCCCCTATCAAACAGCAAACTTTCTGGTACCCAGGTGTCTTTTATACAGGTAACGAGCTGAGGATTTGGTTTTCCCGATTTGAAATTGGACTTTGTAGTCTGCTCTGTGGTTTGGATAAGAAATAGGAGTTGCTCAGAATTAAGAGAATGTTATAAATAGAAGGGCATGACAGAGGTTTGCATGTCATGGATTTTTGTGATACGATAAATTTAGGCTAAATCCACAGCAGGGGTGTCAAACTGCTGGCCCGTGGGGTGGATGCGTCATGGCAAACCACATCCACCCCATTGCCGGCAATGGCAAAAAAAATCACAATATGTCATCAGACGTCACGTGACGTTGCGGGTTTGACACCCCTGATCTACAGTTTAAAACCATAATATTAGAAATATCAAGTTGAGAATATGAAACAGATATAAAATCAGGCTGTGCCCCAAAACATCTTCATGACTGTCAGCACAGGAAAAGACAATGGATCACATGTTGAGAGCCATTAGAACCTGAGATGCAGGAATACCAAACTAAGTCAAGAATGGCAAAAGGATATAACTGTCAGTCGTTTTCATATTGTCAGAAAGATTCCAGATAGATAAAGGGAACTATAGTGTTTAACAAGATAAAGCAGAATTTGAATCTCAAGTTGTGTACAAAAGATATGTAATTGTTAAAACCTCTAATCAGGCTGATGAATATGAACAGAAAAATATTCAAAAGTGTATAAATGTACCCCAAACTAATACTGGAAATGTAGACAAGATAAGGGAACATTTTGTCGTGCTCTGGTGGACTTGTAAAAAAGCTAGAAAAGTTTGAATTCAAAGACATTCAGTGCTATTGAGAACTTTAAAGATTAATATCCAACTGTAATCAGAACACTTTATGCTGGCACTAAGCAACAGTCATTGAATATTGTTTCTGACTAGGATAACCGTAATGAGACTATTATACACAAAAAGCTGGAAGGGCTCTTACCCAAAGAGGCCACGTTCCTATGATTTTCCAGCATGACTTCCCAATGCAGCGCTTTTTGGTAGGCATCCAGCTGAGACCACTCCTCTTCGGAGAAATACACAGCCACCTCCTTAAAGGACACAAGGCCGTTCTAAATGGCAAGAAAACAGAACAAAAACTGGGAGGATTTTAAAGACAAACAAAGATGTACATTTCAGGCCATTGAAGTGAAAGGAATCCCACTTGTCGTCTGGATTGTTTGGTCCCAAATTCCAGGTACAAATTGCATTATTAGAAATTACTTTAAAAGCTGAGGGGCCTTGATCTGGCCACCCTCTTTGGAGTTTAACAGTCTGCTTCATCTTTTAACCTGGTGCCATTATTTTTCTTATCACTGGCTATAAACAAGGCGTTTTAGAACCTGTAAGATGCCAATATGATTCTTTCCGTTATTATTGAGTAGCCTTGCTCAATTCCATGTAAGAGAATTACTAATAGGATCACTAATAATAATCAGCAAACATTAAAACTGTGAAAAGTTTATTTTTTATTATCCCTCTCTTACGTGAGTTGGAGTTTCAACCACTCTTTCAGCATCAGCATAAAAAGGAGTCAAATTCATTCTATTCTTCCCTGTGAGGGAGACAGAATTTTTAAATGGATAATTAATAAAATGGCAGGAGGCATTCTGCAGAAGAGAAGATATAGAGAATGTAAGACAGCTGGGACCTCTCTTGGGAATGGGTGGAACTTTTGATTACCATCTGAGATGTCCTGAGTTGCGGATTCCTGATAAATCCTCCTGGAAAACAGTTCCTGACGAAGATTTGATGGATTCCTACTTCTCATAGGATCTCTGGTTTGCAGAATGAAAGACTTGAAATAGAGGCAGGAGAAAAGAAAAGAAAAATAAATAAGATATCACAAAAGATGAAGCGGATTCTTGTTCTATAAAAACAGTATCTCTCAATGAGCCTAGAATGTAAGAAAGAAACAGCTGTCTCCAGTCTATCTTCTAGCATGGATAATGGAACAATGTCCTGCAAGAACTAGTGAAACATCACCACATATTATGAAGAGCAGAAACGTAGGGAAGGGAGGAGTGAAAAATTCAAACACATTCTTCTGGACTTCAAAGATGAAGGTCTCTCACCTGAAATTCGACTTGCTCCTTCTGCTCCTCTGCCTGACTCATGAGGAAGCCTTCCGCCAGGGCCACCGCTTGGCAGCTGGTCTCTGCTCCACACTCCCGCAACCAGTTTTCCATCTGTGGGGGCAGTAGGGCCAGGAGCTGCTCCAGAACAGCCAGGTCCAACATTTGGGTTTTAGTGTGCTTTTCTAACCTCAGCCACTGACTATAAAAGTTGTGGAGTCGGCTGCAAAGTCCTCGGGGACCTTCAGTCTCCTGGTATTGGATGTCTCTGAAGTTCCAGGGCTGAATCTCTGAAGGGATGATGAGTTTCTCCTCTAGGATCTTCTGCCCAGTTTTGGGCCAAATCTTCCCATAGCAGCCAGGTTCAACAGCAGAGGGGCCTTTTCCAGGTTCCTCATTTTCTAACGATTGTTTCTGCATCCTTTGTCTGTCCTGTAAAGAAATTCCAGATAGGTGAGAGGAATCTTGCGGATCTACAAACACCTTTCTATTCATAGGACTATTCCTGTAGCTTCAGGATTGACCACAACGGATATCCAGGCCCTTTGCTGAAGAATTAATTTTTTGTTGTTAGGAAGGTTATTGAGATAACTCTAGTTTCTGCATCTGGGATGGTGGACTTAACCACTGAACAACATTCATCCTCATGAAAGCTAAGACTCAACATCATCAGACTTGACCATTGGGCTCTAACAGAATGAAATTCAATGGTGAAAAAAGTAGGTTCCACACATAGGCAAGAAAAACCAAATGCACAGATATAGGTGGTACCTTCTCAATAGTAGTAACTGTGAGAGGGATTTCAGAGTCCTAGTGGACAATCACTTAACTTTGAGCCAGCAGTGTGCTGCAGCTGTCAAAAAAGCCAACAGAGTTCTAGGTTGTATTAACAGAGGAATGGAATCAAGGTCACGTGAAGTGTTGATACCACTTTATAATGCCTTGGTAAGACCACACTTGGAATACTGCATCCAGTTTTCATTGCCACGATGTAAAAAAGATTTTGAGACTCTAGAAACAGTGCAGAGAA